AAAAAAACTATGCTACATATTATATAAAAAAATTATTCTTATAACCGTTCATATGATAAACCTTATCATGTATCAATATATATTATAATGCAATAATATTTGTCTTTGCTTTTTGAACTTCACTCACTAATCATCAATCACAATTCATGAAATTAGTAAATTGGTTATAAGTGAAAATCACGTGCATGCATATGTCAATAAAAATTAATAATACTTATGTTTCTGTGCTTAGTTTTATTTTTCTGTGCACACTTATGTTTCCCACAAGATTCACCTCAATTTTTTTTAATTACTTTTGCAAACAAAATTTAAAAGATTCAAATTGGTAGTTATCATTTCGAATTTTATATTGATTTGATTTCAAGTTAAAAATTTAAATTTGAATTAGGTACGAATGTTTAAATGATTGATATTTTGTTATCTAATAACTTTGAGTAAAATTCAAATTATCATGGATTGAACGAAATTTTAGAATTTAATCATTTTTATCATTTATGTCTATAAATTTATAATTGGAATGGAATGATCTCCAAATTTTTGATTTTGTGGCTAAAAATATTTTAAAAAAATATCAAAAAGATCTGATTTTGAATTAAAATTTTTTTATTTTTTTATTTATACTAAAATTTTATCCTCTTAACGTGATCAAAAAATTAATTAGAATGGGACGGATACCTATACTGTTTACTTTTACTATCCCTATCTATAAGTTTATAATTAGAATGGGACAGATGCCTATGAATGACATCCATTTATTACTTCACGTGTTCAAATAATTGTATTGTCTATGACAATTACACATCACAACTACAAAATTACACATACTCAAATACTTGTACTATCTATAGTAATTAAATTATAATCCGTATACTACACAAAATATTTTATTTATTTAATATAAATACCTAAATATATAAATTAATTTTTTTAAAAAAATTATATTTAAATCTTTAAAACTTATAATATATATATATATATATATAGTTTATATACATTAACTTGTCATTAAAAAATAAATTTTTAAAAAACAATAAAAAAATTATTTCTTTCCTTTGGATATTTTTGTTTACAATAATATTTATATATTTATAAAATTATATCAAATAAAAATAAATTATGTCTTTTTTAAAAAATAAAAATATATGTTATTGAATAATAAAAAATTATTAATAGTTGTTTACTCTCTCACTTTTATTATCCTTATTTTTAAACTTATAATTGAAATAAGACGCATACCTATAAAACTGTTTAAAATTCAAATTATAATAGATTGAACGAAATTTTAGAATTTAATCACTCTTATCATCTATGTCTATAAATTTATAATTGGAATGGGACGGATACCTAAACTGTTTATTTTTACTATACCTATCCATAAGTTTATAATTAGAATGGGACAGATACCGACAAGACTGTTTAGGGATATATATGAATGACATCCATTTATTACTTCACATATTCAAATAATTGTATTGTCTATGACAATTACACATCACAACTACAAAATTACACATACTCAAATAATTCTACTATCTACAGTAATTACATGTAACAACTACAACAATAATTACACGTATTCAAATATAATGGTAAAAAAAAAGTTATGAGTTTAATTTAATTAATTTATATAATTATTTTTAAGATATAATTTTTAATAAATTTAAAAATTAAATTTTAATATTTATAATTTTTTTATTTAGATTTATAACTTCTTTCATGAAAAAATTTGAGGGACACATTCTGTCTATAACCTATTCATGTGCGTTGAATTTTTATTGGCTTAGTTATTTAAATTCACGTTGACTTTTGTTAGCATAGCAACCAATAAGATAAGAGAGAAGACAAAACAATTTGTCTCTTATTTCTGCTAACGTATTGGGATGAGAAAATTATTGATAATCTAACATTTGATGCAAAATTGTGTTACTGTAGAAGTCTAAATGAAATAAATTTAAATTTTAAGTAATAGTAGTAAAAATTTTAAATAATTATTTTAAAAAATTGTTGTAAAAAGATTTCAATGAGAATATGTCAATTCCATTCACAGGGTTTTATAGTCAATTTCAAAGGAAAAAAATTTTGCTCTTTGATTTTACTATTTACATTTTGCTTTTAGGAAAAAAACCAATAATATTATAAAAGAATTAACTTATAAAAAATTAATTTTAAATAAATAAACATGATTTTATTTTTATATAAAACAATTATGTAATAATTAGTACCACATTTTAATCATTCGCTTTTATTTATAATTAAAAAAAACAAATAAAAGAAAAGTGCAATAAAATCAATAATTAAAAATAAGTCAATACAATTGTCAAAATATTTTAGAAGAGTCATTATTGTATTAAACCCATCTTCTTCCACCGTTCTAACATCCATTAATTATAAAAAATTTTCTATAAAATCCATTCATACACTCTCAAATAAAAAAAAATTCAAAAATTTCATAAATATTACAAAACTAAAAAATATTGATTTTAATTTTTTAACACACATATGCCCAGATTATAAAAAAAAATAAATAAATTATGCATATCATATATAAAAGAATTATAGAAATATAACAAAAAATTTAGTGCAACTCACAAGTTAAAAAATTATTTTTTTTGCAAACATAAATGTTAAAAAAACTGAGAAATAGAATTAATATTGAAAGTATTGTTAAAGAATAAATTATTATCTTCAAATGTATGTAATATTTGATTTTTTTTTTAAATTTAAAAACAAACAAATAATAAATGATTATTATGAAATCTCTAAAAAAAAACATTATATTTTAAAATTTTAAATTTAAAATGACTTATATTTAAATTATTAAGAAATCCACTTTATAATATCACCACATTTGAGGTTTTTCAGGTTTAAAAGAAATATATTTATATTATTAGAAAACCTATTTTAAAAGAAAATATAATATTATATTTCAAAATTTTAAATTGAAAAAATATATATTTAGTTTATTTAGAAATGCATTTTTTTAAAAAATAATATATTTTAATTAGATTTTGTTACTAGTAACTTAAAAATAATTGAATTGGTTTTCCATTTAAATTTCAAAGTTTTGGATAATTAAATAATTTTTAAATATATATTTTTTGATAAATATCATAAAATTAAAAAATATATTACATGTCATTATAAAAAGAAAAATTTTAAGAACTTTCTTACGTGTCCAAAAGAGAAACCATCTATTTAAGCATTCGCATAAGCAAATTTTATTAAGTTTTTATATTTGTTGTAATATAATGTTATATATAATTATTATAAATATAATGAGATGGTGGTATTAAAAATGATTAGATATTAATATTTAGTGTGTTTCAAACTGAATTTATTTTATATTCAAAATTAAAAATTTAACATTAATTTAATTGATTATTATTGATATAATTATTTAATAATTATCAATAATAACAGTTTTAAAATTTAAAATTTTTAGTTTTAGAAAAATATTTATTTATTATTTATTTAAAAAATTATATAATTATAGTTTTGATTTTCTTGAATTATAATTTAATTTTTTTACGAATTTTATATCAAATCGATTTTAAGTTCGAATCATTGCAGACTCAAGATATGATCAATTCAAATTGTATCGACTTTGAACTTTTTTACATTTGAGTTTCTTTCAAATTTAAATTTTTTCAAATCGAATTTTTTAAAATTTCAATCTTTAACTTTTTTTTTTTTTTATCAATTCGAGATATCACGTATTCCATCCTCAGCAGTGGCAACCTTGAATAGAGATGGACTGCCAGCACCCCCTATAGTATAAAAGCTTGTATCTAGGTGGGAGGCTTAGGGAGCTACCTTTGTACGCTCTCTTACTTCGTCCTGATGTTTGGGGTTTTTCTTTGGACTTGTGTTACTTTTTATTGATGATCAGCTATGAAATGAGTTTTCACTGGCCAAAAAAAAAAGTCCCCTCTTCCATTGTCATCCACATTTTGGGTTTAATTTCCTCCTTGGCCATTGCTATATTTTGCTTTTCGCCTTTCCCTATTCTTGCCTGCTTCTGTTTCCCCTTCTCTTTCCATCGTTCTACCAGCCACTAAGCACCTGCAACCACCACCCTCTTCTGTTCCTTGCGGCACTAGTGGCCAACACCTTGCAGCAACGGCCACCACCTTCTTTTCTCTTCTCCACACCACCACTAGCCTTTTTGGCGTCAAATCTCCAACCACCGTCAGCTTGTTGAAGCCTACCGTTATATCTCAAGCCAAATTAGTTCAGGTTAGATTATCTTTAAGTGTTACTTTCAATTATTTGTCTTCGATTTTTATTGAGTTTGATTGATAGACTTGCAATTTAAAACATGATATGATATGAGAATATAACATCAAAATGTTGGAATATATATATATATCTATATATATATGGGTTTAACAAAATAAAAAAAATAAGTGTATTTCATATTTTTGTATCTGATATAAATTGTAATATGTAATTTTTGTATAAAACTTGACACAATGTTTGAATTGTCGATATTTTATACGATATGAATATATGAATTATCTTATCTAAGTGGAGGCAAAATTTTGAGTTAAGTCTAGATTGAGGCTAAATTTTGAGTGAATGTTGTAGATTTAGGATTTGTTTTTGAGGTTTTTTTTTTTTTTTTTTTTAAGGTTGAAATTATAATAGACAAAATGATTTTTTTTTTTATACTGCATGTCTGGCTGGAAATCAGAGTAGGGGTGAAGGTTGGATCGCAATTTAAATCATATTTTGTATTTTTGTATTTGATACGAATTCTGATATATAATTTTTGTGTAAAATTTTACATGAATAAACGAATTGTGGTATTTTATACTATAAGAATTGGCATAAAGTCTAAATTTTGAGTCAAATCTATATTGAGGATAAATTTTGAGTGAACGTTGGAGATTTAGGATTTGTTTTAGAGGGTTTTTTAGGTTGAAATTATAATAGAGGAAATGATTTTTATTTTTTATTAAGGTTGGATCGCAATTTAAATCGCGCTGTAGACGGAAGAAATGGTTCGTTACTTGTCACTAGCCATCCCTTTTGGTGTTAAGAAGCTTTGGGAAGAATGGAACATCCGAGGGGCTATCTTGTTTAGTCTCTGGTTGCAGATCGTGTTGATTTTTTTGGCCCCAATCAGAAAATCGACAAGGAAAAAATTCGTAATCTCACTCCTCTGGTTTGCTTACTTGTTGGCTGACATAGCTGCCGATTTTGCTGTTGGTCTTATCTCCAAAAGCCAATGCAACCAATCCAATAATTCTGACCTGAAACCCAAGGAAGGCATTGATTTGTTAGCATTCTGGGCGCCCTTTCTCTTATTACACCTTGGCGGCCCTGATACCATTACTGCTTTTGCTCTTGAAGACAATCAGTTGTGGCGAAGGCGCTTGCTTGGCTTTGGTTTTCAAGCCACAACTATTGTTTATGTATTCTTCCAGTCACTTCCCAACAAAAATCTATGGATCCCTACAATACTCATTTTTACTGCGGGAATCATCAAGTATGTTGAGAGGACACGAGCGTTGTTTCTTGCGAGCACGGACAAATTTCGTGATTCCATGCTAAACTCACCGCCCAATTGCTCCACGCTTATGAAGGATCTCGTTTACGGGAACGCGGCCAGACGTAAACGGCGACAAACTTATGAGTTATGTGAGATGGCTATTGAAGAGGGTCTCGAAAGCGTAGATTTTGCACAGACTTCTTTTACTCCACACGAAAAAGACCCTTTGGAGCATCTCCTATTGGTGAAAGATGCTTATCAGTACTTCCAAATATTCAAGGGACTCGTGGTCGATCTCAACTTCAGCTTTCCTAAAAGTGATGAACGCCTTGACTTCTTCGATAAGACAGCTGAAGACGCTCTGAAGTTAATTGAGATTGAACTCAACTTCATGTACGAGTCTCTCTATACCAAAATGGAAGTTTTGAGTTCTATTACCGGATATGTTTTCCGATTCACAGCTTTTGGGTCAGTTTTAGCAACTCTTGGACTCTTTTGTTTCCAAGTAAATAAAGATGAATTCCACAAAGTTGATATTGGGATCACCTACTCCTTGCTCCTCGGTGCCATTGCCCTGGATGTAATAGCGTTCTTCATGCTTATTTTCTCAGATTGGACTTTTGTTTCTATCAAGAACCCTCCTACACACCACTGGTCCATGGCCGCTGTCTTCAACAGTTTCCTTGCCTTCAAGATGCCATGGTGGCACCCTTGTAAATGTAAGACAAAGAGTCAAGAGAAGGATGTGCAGCATCATGTTTTGGTCACACCCCTTTTGTTTCGAAGGTGGTCTGGATCCATCCCAACTCACAACCTTATAAGGTATTGTCTGAAAAGCAGTTTAACCAGAATCCATAAATTCCCAAGTTTGTGGGGAATCATGTTTGAAAAAATCCTTTGTTTGTTGGGAATCAATGAAGTCACAAAGAAAGTTAGTGGTTATATGATCATGATCAAGAGAAAAATCAGTCAATCTAACACCTCTCTTGCTCAACAGGGCAAGTCTTTTAAAGGCAATGGTTCGCTGGGCTCTTCGATCAACAAAGTCACTGGATTTTTAAGTTGCATCGAAGAAAATGTTATCCAATTTTTTCGTCATATTTTCAGATTAATCACTATGCCTATTAAGAATATTGTGGATGAGATGATGTATGTCTCCCTTGAGCCATTCACTAAGGAGCTATGGAAATTTATCTTTGAAGAGGTCAAAAATAAATCCAAGTCCGCGGATACTTCAGAAACTAAAAAGGGAATATACTCAGCAAGGGGTGATTGGGTTTTGAAGAAGACATATTCACTAGACGATAATAGCCAGTTACTGAAATATGTGAGAGATGTTGAATATGATGAGAGAATTCTTTTGTGGCACGTGGCCACTGATCTTTGCTACTATACTGACAATGAGAAAGTGAATGGTGCAAGTTCGAATAATAATGCATATATGGGAAAAGCACCGACTCAACGACAATTTAGCAAGATTCTGTCGGATTATATGCTGTATCTTTTAGTTTTTCATCCAACTACGGTATCTTCTGTGTTGGGTATTGAAAAACTAAGATTTCGAGACACTTGTGCTGAGGTTGAAAAATTCTTGAAGGAACAATATTTGCTACCAAATCAAGACAAGGAGGCCTGTCAACGAATTCTAGAGTATACGGATGCTGGATCTGTTGGACCAGAAAAAAAAGAGAGCATGACTGTGTTACTCGAAGCAACTAAGCTAGCCACAGAGCTAAAGAGGATGGAAAACCAAGAGGGCAAGGACAAATGGGAGTTATTGAGCTCAGTGTGGGTGGAATTAGTCTCATATGCGGCATGTACTTGCAGTGGAAGTACGCATGCTCAACAGTTAAGTAAGGGTGGAGAGCTTATTAACTTAGTTTGGTTGTTAATGGCTCATTTTAGTCTTGGGTAGCAATTCCGAGTCTGAAGACTTTGAAGAGACAAAATCGATGGTGGGAAAGTAAACAAATTGATTCTACGACTCTCAATCAAGAAATAATTGTAATGTAGTGCTTGTGAAACTGAAGTAGCTTAATTGTTGTGTTATTGTGGATTTGTTTTTTTTTTTTTTTTTCGGTTTCTTGCTTGTCTATTTCTACTGAATCATGTATTATCTTAATTGCAAGAAATTAAAGAGATTAGTACTATTGGTAGTATTCTTTTTTCATGCTTACAAATTACAATTCTTACATTTCTCATAAAAAGGCAAAAAATTACAATTTAAACATAGCACAGGTGAGTACATCAACTTTTCGATTTTCATATGTATTTGATGAGGAATAATAATAGGGAATAAAATCTAAAAAAAAAAAAAAGAAAACGAGGAGAAATTTGGTTTGAAACCCTAATTCCAGCAAGAGAAGTAAATTGTATATGCAAATGTGTTGTATTCTTTCGTTGCGATTTTTTTTTTACCAAAAACATATTTAACTTCCATAAATAAAAAAAATAAATAAGATATTAAAATTTTTTAAAAATAAAAAGTTAAAATGAAGTTTGAGTTGAAAATGCTAGCTTTTTAATTTGAATTTTATATAAAGATCAATTGCTAGGACGACTAATGAAGTTGGTACACCTATAATATTATATGTAAATATAGATTGTGCTTGTTATTTAGACTCATAATTCACTGGAACAAATAAAAAAAAAAAAAAGAAACGTTTTCTTTTATTGGATACCCACAATTAATTTTCTTTAAAAAAAAAAAACCTTTAGATATATGTTATTTAAAAAATTACAATTGATGTAACAATAATAAATCTAAAAATCATTCTTTTCCTTATTGATAAAAAAGAATAATTCTTTTATTAGGTAACGCAATTAAGTTTGAAATATTATTATTGAAACTCAAAAAGGATTTTTTGCATGGTATCCACATATGAGTCACATTAAAAAAAAAAAAACTTTTAAGAGTGTTTTGTTCGCGAATTCTTAAATAAGTGATTTTTGGAAAAAAATAATAGTTAAAGGGAATAAATTATTATTATAATTTATTTATTTTAGAAAATATATTATTTTTGTATTTGATTTGTAAAATCTAAAATTACCTAATAAATTTTTTTATTATATTGCTCTTAAGTAACGCATGATAAAATAATTAAATGATTTATTTATTTAATATTTTTATAATTAATTTATTTAACTTGCAAGTAATTTATTTAAATATATTTATATATTTATATAATATGTAACTTATATATATTTAATATGTAAATTTTATATTTTTATTTATTTAACATAAAAAAAACCACGTTTGTTTATGACAATTATCGTCAATTTCATTAAAAAAACGACCATTATTTTAAACAAACGTCATATATAGTAATTAAGAGGATTCGATCTTTTATTTAACCTTTCCCCTTTGTTTAAGAAATTACATTGATGGTAATTTTTTATTTACAAAAGTAGCATGTGCTATTGTGCGATGATGGTGAGAAGATACAAAGCGTGTACTTTAATTCATACTAACTAAGGAGAAGATGCACACAAGAAGAAATATTCTTTCAGTGTTTGTCAATGAGCTTAACATTCTCATATAATAAATAAAAGGACAAAGAATTCGCTTTTCTTCTCCCATTGACTGTTTCTTTTTGGTAAGAAAGTATATAAATTGAGTCAGCGAAAACAAAAAAGGGAGCTTCATTTACCATTATTTTTTAATAATTAATTTATTAAAATTGATAATTAATTAATTAAAATTTAATCCATGCTCAAAAGTACGGTGTGATTCAACAGAGCCTTAGTCGCGAAGTTTGGGGAGTTTTCGGACTTGTGATACTTTGTATTGATGATCAGCAATGAATTGACTGAAAGTCCCCTTTTCCATTTCCATCCAAAATTTGGGTTTACCTTTCCTCCTGGGCCCTTGCTATATTTTGCCTTTCGCCTTTCTCTTTTTCTTACCTGCTTTTGTTTCCCCTTCTCTTTCTATCGTTCTACCAGCCACTAAGCACCTGCAACCACCACCCTCTTCTGTTCCTTGCGGCACTAGTGGCCACCACCTTGCAGCAGCGGCCACTGCGTCCTTTTCTCTTCTCCTCACCACCATTAGCCTTTTTGGCGTCAAATCTCCAACCACCGTGAGCTTGTCAAACTCCACGGTTATATCTCAGGCCGAAATAGTTCAGGTTAGATTATTTGCAAGTGTTACCTCCTTTCAGTTATTTGTTTTTGATTTTCTTAGACAACTTGCAATTTAAAACAGACCATAGTGACATAACATCAAAATGATAAAAAAAATTAAAATGATATAATTTAAAATTTTTATAAAAATTATATATGAATTTAATAAAATTTTAAAAAAATATTTCATATTTTTTTATTTTACATGAATTAAGATATATAATTTTTGTATAAAACCTAGACACAAATACATAAATTATCGATTTATATGATATGATACTTGAATTATCAGATCTAGATAGAAGCTAAATTTTAAGTCATGACTAGATTGAATCTAAATTTTCAGCGAATGTTGTAAATTTATAAGTTGTTTTTGAAGTTTTTTTTTTAGTTTGAAATTATAATAGACGAAATGGTTTTTTTTTTATTCTACATTTCTGGATGGAAAACAGAGTAGGGGCGAGGCCGCTAAACCGCTGTTGGATCGCAATTTAAATCCCGCTGTAGACGGAAGAAATGGTTCGTTACGTCTCTCTAGCCATCCCTTTTGGTGTTAAGAAGCTTTGGGACGAATGGAACATCCGAGGGGCTATCTTGTTTAGTCTCTGGTTGCAGATCGTGTTGATTTTTTTGGCCCCAATCAGAAAATCAACAAGGAAAAAATTTGTAATCTCACTCGTCTGGTTTTCTTACTTGTTGGCTGACATAGCTGCCAACTTTGCTGTTGGTCTTATCTCCAATAATTCTGACCTGAAACCCAAGGAAGGCATTGATTTATTAGCATTCTGGGCGCCCTTTCTCTTATTACACCTTGGCGGGCCCTGATACCATTACTGCTTTTGCTCTTGAAGACAATCAATTGTGGCTAAGGCACTTGCTTGGCTTTGGTTTTCAAGCCACAACTATTGTTTACGTATTCTTCGAGTTACTTCCCAACAAAAATCTATGGATCCCCACAATACTCATTTTTACTGCGGGGAATGATCAGTATGTTGGAGCGGACACGAGCTTTGTTTCTTGCGAGCTCGGACAAATTTCATGATTCCATGCTAAACTCACCGCTCAATTACGCCACTTTTATGGAGGATCTCGTTTACGCGAAAGAGGCCACATGTCAACGACGAACAACTTTTGCCCTACTTAAATCGAGTGACTTCCAACCGGATTTATTTACTCCACCCAAAAAAATATCTTTGGAGCATCTTCTATTAGGTAATGTTGCTTATCAGTACTTCCAAATATTCAAGGGACTTGTTGTCGATCTCAACTTCAGCTTTCCTAAAAGTGATGAACGCTGTGACTTCTCCGATGAGACAGCTGAAGACGCTCTGAGGTTAATCGAGATTGAACTCTACTTCATGTATGAGACTCTCTATACATGTATATATATTTATATTTATATGAAAATTAGAGGACGGTTGTTTGCCCACAGCGTAGTCTCTTATGAAATATAAACTACGTAAGCTTTTAGTTTATATTTAATATATGATAAGGGCTATTTTTTTCAGATTTAGTTTATGAACTATGTGTATTAATTTCAAACAAAGTCATATTGAATAAAAATATAATTTAATTATTAATTAATTCTATGAAATAAAAATATCAAATATTTTTTCTTTTATAAAATTTGAGGATTTATTTGTTATTAATTTGATTGTAAATTTTAAAAAATGAGTGACCAAAGTAAAACTTTTTTATTATATAATGTAAATTATGTGTCTTTTTTAATTTAATTTTTTGTTTATTTATCTCCTACATGTTATTTTTAATAATAATAATAGATGAGAATTTTTAAATAATTAAAATTTAAAAAAGTATTAATGAGTTGTGTTTGGACCAGTTCAATACGAAAAATAGTATTGTGCCTAGTACAGCACAACCCGTGAAGATTATGGGTCATGTGTCGTGCTAGGTCATATACTTAACTTTCATGGACTGTGCCAGCATGGCACATTAAAAAATAATGTTGAGCTGGCATGTTTATTAACATATAGACTAATATATAAATGGGTTGTGCCAACCCAGCATGACCTATTTGACATCTCTAACCTTTTTAAAGAAATATCCTATTATCATCTTTAAAGATGTATCCTATTATCATCTTTTACTTGATTCTATCATATTTTCATATTAGAAATTAGAAATTTCTTGAACTACCTAATTAGACTCTTTTTTATCTTCAATCAAATAAGAATTTTTTATTTTTGCTAATATTGCTCTACCAGATAAATAAGCTTTGAAAATGATATTTTCAATTATTTTAAGTTTAATTGCCTTTTTATTCTCCCCTTTGCTAGATAAAATAAAAGTTAATCCATAACCCATATGTATAGAATTTTCATAACATCTCTTTATGGATATAGATGTGATTTGTTGATTAAATATGTGTTAATTATTTGCTATGGAAATAAAATTTGATTTGTTAATACATTAGTTGTACAAAGCTTTTGCTTTGAAATTTTTTTAGTTGTGGCTATATAATTAAGTTGATAGTTTCAATGTTGATTGCGCTTTCTAGTTTGGTGTTGGACTCTATCCTATTAGTTAAGTTTTCTGTATAATCATTGTTGGTATTTTAGAATGTGATGCAACCCTCATTAGATAGAAAATTTTAATTATTGATGAATAAAATTAATTTTTGTATTAAATTTTATTCATATTTTAAATAATTATGTTAACAGAGATAATTATCATATGATAATTAGTCATAACTATTTGAATATAAATAGATTATTATTTATAAAAGTCATAATTATACAAGGTCATAATCATTTGAATAGAAATTTATGT